GTCTCTGCAAAAAGAGAGCGAGAATATGGGTAGAATGTGATTAAAAAATGAAGGGGAAAAAAACTGCAAGAACATGGTTAGAATGAGATTAAAAAAATGGGGGGGGGGGAAATAAACAAAGTAGTTTTTCACAAGATTTGAAATTTTCTTTCTCATCATGAAACACATTAATGAAAATAAACTTTACGAAATATAAAAAAAACATGATTTCTGCATCCTATTTAAATTAAAAAGCGTAAAAGCCCATTGTTTTTCAGACATAATAATTTCGTCAAAATAAGTAAAATATTCTTTTCGTATGAATATGTCTGTGATTTCGTTATTCGTAGAAAGCCTTGGAATTATAAATTTCAAAATATATAAATTAATTTAATGTTTTTGATGTATACAAAATACTAAGTATTCATATTATCTGATCTTCACTTTACTCAATTTCGATTCATATTTAATGAGTTTTTACCTGTCTTCTTAAAAACGAATTATGTTTAAAACCCATCATTTAAATTAAATAGTAAACCTTTAACAATTCGGATTTCCCTTCGTATAGCATCAATTAAAATTAAGTGGCCATATTTCAAATTTAAAGCTATAAGTCAGTAATTATTTTCAGCATTAAAGGTAATTTCTTACACTAACTTTCAAGATGTGAAGAACTCAAAAATTGTTGTACTCAAACATATCAATGGTAAGAGTTTTAGTAAGGTAACAAAGTTATTTCTGTTTGATCTTGCAGCGTTATCATATTGAAGCACTTAATAAATTTTTTCATTTTGTATTAAGAGATCTCTTGCTATGCTAATACGGGAAATTTTATACATTTGTCTGTTAAATTAGTTTTTTTTTAACTCAAATTAAAAAACAAGAACACAATTAAAGCTGGATTTAAAAAAATAATATGGAGAAAATTTTAACAGCTACAAGCTTAGTTAGAACACAAAATTCTATAGTTTAAAATTAATAATCGGATACATAATTTTAACTTAATAATTGATTAAATTATTATTATCATACTTTTATTAGCATTTTTAACCTTATAGTTGATTTAAGCACAAATAAAAACTTTATCTAGAGATTGAGGTTTGATACTAAATAGAAAAAAAATATATATTTAAAAGATAGATAATAAAATAACAAATTTTCACTTACTAACATCGGAACCTCCACAAAAGAATGGATCATGTAGAATCTATGCATGAAAACAATAGCAGTACTAATGCACAATTGATCTCTAATACAAAGTTAAAGAAATAACTCACTTTCTCTCGTGTATAAATACTTATTACAAAATAAAACTAAATGAAAAACTAGCCCTTACATATCAGAGAAATTTTTTAAAGAAATAAAAATTTATTTAAAACAAATTAAAGACGATATTAATTAAACTCTGAAAATAAAGTTATTGCTCTGTACCGATGTATATTACTGCCATATAATTTAACAAGCGTGAAAATCCACTCATAAAACATTAAAACATATATTTCTTCTCGCATGCATTTCAAACTACAAAAAAGAAATAAGCACCTAAATTTTAATGTTATGGCTTTTGGTGGTTCCAAAAATAATATTTTTAAAAAAAATACAGTAATGTAAATAAAATAGGCATATGTGTAGCAAACACGTGCTGGATTTTGATATTAAAAAGAATCTATTTTTAAAAAAATTAACTATTCTATTAGCATACCATATTTATAAATATTAGTATCACACATTTATCATAACAATAATTTTTACACTACTATTATCGTTAATTTATTAAAAACGTTTAAACTATATGCATAATTTTTATTTAGTTGCAGTTTTCTTCCTGTATTTTTCTAAACTAGAAATTTGAAATTTTTAATGCATAAATATATGCATAAATATAAAATAATGCATTGAGAAAACATAAAAAACGTGCAAACTTACGAACTAGTTAACTGTTATACCGGTTCACACAAAATACAATATAATTAACACCAGTTAATACATTTGAAAATATATATATAAAAAAAAGGATACAGTAGCAAGCGATTTCTATCTTTATTTCATAGGCGCTTATTTTCGTGCTTTAGTTTATGTCAAAAGCAACTTGAAAGATAGAGAGAGAGAGTAATAACTAAGCTTGATTTATTATAGTTTGAAAAATTATTTTATATTAAATTTAAATTATTATATTGAAGTTATTTAAATTATTATAATATTGTACTGAATATCCAATATAGAAATTACAGTTTTTGTGTAGACAGTTCGAATGTAATTAAAAAATTTGTTTCTTTTAAACTTTAAAGTTACGAAGATTCTATTTCTTTTCATAATATAATAGAATAATTTACATTTAGCATAACGAAATGCAAGTTTAGTAAAATAGCAAAGTCTTATAAATAAAATATTGATAACATAAATATCACTCTGTGAGAAAACCCTTAACACAACCCTACAGGAAAATTTAAAAATTTTAAAATAACGTAGCATTGTACTTATAAATAAAAAGCAAATTTACCTTTTGAACAAATCGCTGCTTTAATTTGTGAGGACTTATTTCGACGACATCGAGGAATTCATGAATAAGACCTGTAAAAAAAATAAAAACCATTGAAATATCTATAAATCTTAATCGATTGAGAAAATCATTTCAAACAATATATCAAACATGTTGATATTTTTGTTAACTCTTTTTTTTGAACACATTCAATAAATACTGATTTCTAGAAATTTCAGAATGTCTGACTCTTACGTATTTCTGGACAAGACTCCTAGTTCATCATTATGTAGTCCGGATTTTAATTTTTCAGAAATTTTAAAAATTAAAAAAAAATGGATCCTCAATTTTCTGAGTAGCAAAATATTAAAAACTGATTTATTGGGCATTCAATTTAACATTATATTTTGCCTTGTTGCGCAAAAACTATAGAATTTCGAAACTTGAAATTACGCGAGTGTGTAGAAAAATTCACAATGAAATAAAAAAAATTAACAATCGATAAATTACTTCAAGAATTATTAAATGTTTAACTTGTAGAAAAAAATAACATGCGGGATTGATCTGTAGCCGGCTGAAATGTAACTACGGAGTTTAAATTAGACGAGCTGGAAGAGTATTTTTATGTGTAATTTTAACGTAAATTTTGTTTCAAAATTACAATTTGTTAGTTTAAAAGCTTTTTATCAAATTTTTTGCTTTTAATTGCGACTTCAATAGTTGTAGAAAATTTATTTTTCCCTTATGAGATTTTTCTTTCTTTATTTTATGAGCTCTAGTTAATTTCAATCAAAGTAGCGAGAGAAACAAAAAAAAGAAAGAAAAAACAAGAGCGAGAGATTATGTGCGTGTTTGCTAGATATAAATCTTAACTTTTATAACGAAATTTTTCAAAGTGAAAAAACTTAACGAGCAATGAANCTCTAGTTAATTTCAATCAAAGTAGCGAGAGAGAAAAAAGAAAGAAAAAAAAAAAACAAGAGCGAGAGATTATGTGCGTGTTGCCAGATATAAATCTTAACTTTTATAACGAAATTTTTCAAAGTGAAAAAATTTAATAACGAGCAATGAAAACCGTCCCCTATTTGAATTGTTATAATGTTGACGATTACAATTAATTCTCATTTATTCAATATTATTGAGTCACATGATCTGTAAACTTCAAGTTAAACGTTTTTTTTTCTTTCCAAGTTCAGACGTTTATTTTTTAAATCCAAGTAATCGTCCATTTTGTTATGCTTAACATGTTCATAGGATGTTCTAACATTAAGCTACAATAATGGTATAGTTTGAAAACTAAATATTCCGTGTTTTTGTGGAAGATATTGATGTTTAAAAGGGGAAAAAACAATGACGAATAAGAAGCAATTAAGAGAGTTTGAGAGCGGAGATTCCTATTAAATTAAAAGACCCTTATAAACTCTATTCAAAATGTAGTGACAAATTAAACTTAATAAAAAAATGGAACAAATTTATTGTTTGCTAGACAAAAAGTATAACCATTTTTAACACAACATATCTGTTGTTGAAAGCATATAATATTAAAAATATATCTTTACTGAGGGTTTATTTTTCACTTAAAATGGAATTGTCAAGAATTAAAACACTAAACCGGTTCACTTATTTCATAAAAATATTAAATTTTCTTAGAAAAAGAAAGAAAGAAAAACTATTATGCAAGAACAGTCTTGACTGTAAACAGAAAGATGGAAGAGAACGAGTTGAAATATTTTTACATTATAAATTTTCTCTAATAGACGAATTAATAAAATATGAAGACTCAAAATAAGATTCGGAAATTTTAATTTTTAAAAAGTTACGCTACACAAAATCCCTCCCTGTAATTTATTGGAATAAAAACGTTATCAATAAAAGTAATGAGAAAAAAAAAGATGCATACCTTCCAAAGTTTTATAAGACACACTCGGATCAATATAAAGAAACCAGTCCTTTCCTTTTGAACAAGGTTCAATCTGTAACATTAAAGCAGAGAATGAAATACAATTTAATGTATGTATATAGAGAGAAAGATAGAAGAAAAATTATTGCTAAATAAATTGCTTTAAAAAAGTTTTAAGAATTTTAAAAAAATTAAAAAACCAGAGAAAAAAAAAGAAAAGATATAATGTTGTAAAGATGAGAATGAGATTATATCTTTTCCTTATTTTGTATTTTAGAGTCTTAATTTAAAAAAAAAAATTTTTTTTAAATAATTTATTTAGTAATTATTTTTCTTTCTTTAAAAATACATTTTTCTTGCTTTCTTTGTATTTTTAACTTATTTCATAGGTTCTATGTACTTGCAGCTTATGCACAGGAAATAATTTTTCTTAATTTTTGTAGTTAATATCTGTGTTCCTTTTTTTATATCTTTTTATTGTGTTATATATACACACACATTATTGAATTAAATTTAGCAAGAGTTTTAATCTTTCAGTACTTAAATATTCAAAACTGAATAGAATAGTTTTATCTGAACTACTTTTAACAGTAAAGAAAATTGGGAGTAATCTACACTAGCTGAGATTAAACTAAATTGTTAATTTTATTAATTAGAAATCAATTTTGAAATTTAGCTAAAAAGCAAATGAAATATTTTCTAATTACACATAAGTGTTCTGAACGTGAAGTACAAATGTTCAGAGATATTATTTGAGTTCATGCAATTCATCATGAAATCGTGTTACATGAAAACAATCAGAAAAAATATGAGTTTTGATGTTTCAATTGAAACTGAACTATTATTTCTCCTCTAAAACTTTTTTTTTCATTCAAAAAATATATCTGAAATTAAATATATTAGTAAATGCATTATTGGATATAAATTTTTAATTTACAATAAGCGTACACAGTATGCTCTAAAAGTTTCTATGTATTCCAACTGTTTTTAAGAACTGTCAAGTTTGAGTAATTCAATGCACTTTTCTGCAATAAATTTCATGTATTCTTCTAAAACCATCTTAAAGAGACGGAATCTTGGACTTAAAAAAATTGAAGCACCCTTTTTAACGATAATAACATATCGGAGTGCTAAGTAAAATATTCTTATACAGTTTTAAATTACCGTTGAAAATTCTTGATAAAGAGAATTTAAATTAAAAAAATAATTTAAAGTCGCACAAAAAAAAATTTTCTATTTTAAAATGCTAAATAAAAATTAATAATTATTGTAAAAGAAAATTAGTTTATACAAAAAAAGGATAAATTAAAAGAGTAAAAAATTACTACATTATTGAAAACAGCCTACATTTACTATCTTAATATATTTCAATCTCCATTGTTATAAAAATTAAAAGAAATATTTTTTTGAAATAAAAATTTGAAAAGAAAGCTACTGGCTTAAGAAACTGTGATTAATATAAAAAAACAAACTTCTAAAAAAATTAATTCCTGCTTCTATTAAATTTTTTTTAAAACAACCATTAATTTTTTTAAAATCAAAGCATACATTATTTTCATACAATAAAGAATTAATTCCTGAAAATAATTAAATCAAATTATAAATTAGAGAAAATAAAAATGTCAATAATAGCTCGTTTAAATCTTACCTCCCAATTAGTCCACTTGCAGGCCAAATGAAAACAAAAGCAAGCAACTACTCTAGGCTTGTACTTGAGGCACATATTGGTAAGATGCAAGCTAAATTAAAAAGATAAAATATTAGTAAATAGTAAAGACAAGAGATTAGTAAATAGTAAAGATAAGAGATTAGTAAATAGTAAAGATAAGAGATTAGTAAATAGTAGTTTCTAAAAATAAAAATTTATAAATTATGTGATTAAGTTCCCACCATTTATTTTAAAATTTTTTCCTTTCTGCATGTGTATGTGGCATGTTTTAGTTCCTTCAAAAGAGGATTTGTTCTATTGAAAAATTTTTTTCGAGTTAATTTGTGATTATTTTCAAAATATTGAAATGGAACATCCAAGTTCTGACAAACTAAACTAGTATTTTCGACCCTTTTTTTTCTTCTTACTTTTGTCTTTAAACTAGGTTCTGAGACGTTCTTTTCCGGCTGTAAATAGAAAAAAAAATTAAAATAAAATAATCTTTTTAAAGCAAGATAAAATTACAACTTTACTAACCCAAAGGCACTAATGGCAAAGGTACTAATGTAAATTGTTTAAAAAACGAGAAAAACGTTAAAAAAGAATTTTTTAATAAATTTGAGCAAAATTGCTTAGAAAATTAAAAACAAAAGTATACATATATTTTATATATTTTTGTTTTAGAATTAGACCTTTAATGTTAGAAAAGGAATCATAATTTATTTAACTAGTAAAAATTGTGTTTTTGAAAATGTTAAATAAATATTGGTTTAACAATCATAAAAATTATTTAAATTTTTTGCCCTCCAAATAATAGTAAAAATATAGGTTAAAACATTACAAAAGAAGTTTTTCTTAAATTCAAAGATTCTTTGAATTTTTGGCTTTTATCAAATTTCTTTAATTTAGTGTGTAAATACACAGTAAAAAAAAAAATAAACACAAAATTAAACTTAAGCTCTGAAAGCTATAAACTTGAAGAATTTGCAAGAAAATTCAATTCAGTATCATAAGACAAAACTAGTTAAACTGATTTTGCCTGTATTTATAAACAAAAAAAACAATTACTCTTCATTTTTGACAATTCACGTTAAAACAGTTAAATTTATTAAGAACGCTTCAGAATCAAAACTAAAGTTAAAGCTTTAT